CCCTGTCTCAAAAAAACCCAAAAACAAGCAAACAAACAAAAATTCTGTAACTTTAATATTATCTGTGTACAGGTTAGTTTTATGCCAGCTTGACACAAGCTGGAATCTTATAAGAGGAGGGAATCTCTTGAGAAAATGCCTCCAGAAGATCAAGCTATAAGTCATCAAGTATGTAGGCATTTTCTTAATGATCTATTAGGAGAGGAGGCAGCGCGTGGTGGTTGGTGCAACCCCTGGTCTGGTGGTCCTGGGTTCTATAAGAAAGCAGGCTGAGCTAGGCGTTGGTGGTGCATGCCTTTAATCCCAGCACTTGGGAGGCAGAGGCAGGCGGATCTCTGTGAGTTCGAGGCCAGCCTGGTCTCCAGAGCGAGTGCCAGGATAGGCTCCAAAGCTATACAGAGAAACCCTGTCTCAAAAAACCAAAAAAAGAAAGCAGGCTAAAGCGCGCACGCACGCGCGCGCGCGCGCGCGCGCACACACACATATACACACATACACACACACACACACACACACACACACACACACACACAAAGAAAGCAGGCTGAGCAAGCCATGGGAGAGCAAGGCCAGTAAGACATACTCCTCCATGGCCTTTGCAACAGCTCCTGACTCCAGGTTCCAGCCAGGTTTGTGTTCCTGCCTTAGTGTCCCTCAGTGGAGGGATGCAAGTCAAACAAACTGTTTTTTCCCCAAGTTGCTTTTGGTCATGGTGTTTCATCACAGCAATAGAAACCCTAATAAGACAATCTGAATGCATCAACAGTTACATTACTTACTTACAGAGTACTCAATAAAAGGTCAATGAATTAATCATACTAGGAACTTCTTTCTTTCTTTGTTTGTTTTGTTTGTTTGTTTTTTGAGACAGGATTTCTCTGTGGCTTTGGAGGCTGTCCTGGAACTAGCTCTTGTAGATCACCTGCCTCTGCCTCTCGAGTGTTGGGATTAAAGGCGTGTGCCACCACCACCCAGCGGAACTTTTGTTGTTTTTTTTTTAATAACTTATTTAACATTTATTTTATGTGCATTGGGGTGAAGGTATCAGATTCCCTGGAACTAGAGTTACAGACAGTTGTGAGCTGCCATGTGGTTACTGGGAATTGAACCAGGGTCCTCTGGAAGAGCACTCAATGCTCTTAACCGCTGAGCCATCTCTCCAGCCCCGGACCTTATTTCCTAAGCAATTTATTTAGTAGCATCTACTTGTATACTATTTGGTTAGTGAAGGTACTCAGGTCTGATGTCAGCCAGACTGCGTATGTCACTATGTAGCTAAAGACAATTGTGAACTTCTGTTCCTCCTGTCTCCTCCTCCGGAGAGCTGGGATTACAGGCATCCACTACCAAACCCGGTATATGTGCTGGAAACAGAAGCCAGTGCTTCACGAATGCTAAGCAAGCACTGTACCAGCTGAACAACATCCACAGATCTTTTGCCAGGAATTTAACATGCCAGTAATAGTCAATGTGCTAACTACAAAAACTAACCAAACTAGGGCTGGGGAGATGGCTCAGTGGTTAAGAGCACTAGCTGCTGTTCCAGAGGACCCCGGTTCTCACTCATATTTTTAAAATTATGTGTATGTGTGTGTCTTTGTGAGGGTATGTGCAGGTCAGATCCCTTGGAGCTGGAGTTTCAGATGGCCATCTGCCATGGGTGCTAGGAATTGAACTCAGGTCCTCTGAAAGAACTCAGGTCTTCTGAAAGAGCTCCTGAGTAGCAAGCAGCTCACTACTATCTATAACTCAGTTCCAGGAAGGACATACATGCAGGCAAATTATTTAAAACAAAACAAAACAAAAACTAACCAAACTTTCTACATTACCTAAAGCACATTGCTGTGTAGCCTTGACTATATAAGATGTATTCCAACTTTCCTCTTTGGACTTGCTCTTTTTTTTTTTTTTTTTTTTTTTTTTTTTTTTGAGAGACAGGGTTTCTCTGTAGCTTTTGGAGCCTGTCCTGGAACTTGCTGTGTAGAGGATGGCCTCAAACTCACAGACATCCACCTGCCTCTGACTCCAGAGTACCTGGATTAAAGGTGTGCACCATCACCTCCCAGCCAGGACTTGCTCTTTGTTGAAACGGGGTCTCTCTATGTAGTCCTGGATGGGCTGGAGTTAGTTATGTAGACCAGACCTGACTCAAACTCATAGATCCTCCTGCCTCTGCCTCTAGAGTTCTGGGACTAAAGGTGTGTACCACCACACCCAACTGGACCTACTTTCTTAAGTGTATCTTTTTGTTTTTGTTTTTCAAGACAGGGTTTCTCTGTGTAGCCCTGGCAGTCCCCAAGTGGCTTAAGTGTACCTTAACCCAGACAAACATATACACATTGACCTAAAGTCTCCTCCCAGGTGTACCAAGAATTAGCACAATTCACTGCTGCCATGGATACTCACTGCAAACAAGTGGACATACTCTGAAAGTCAAAAACACCGAATGTAGCATCCTTTAATCATCATCTGAAGAAGTGATTTGTTTCAAAAGACCAAACCCTCAAGTTACCTCCACAGCCAACAGAGAAAGAAAAAGGAAGAGCTACATAGATGGCTCACCCTCACAAGCACTTGGTGCTCTTTCAGAAGACCTGAGTTCAATTCCTAGCACCCATGGCAGATGGCCATCTGAAACTCCAGCTCCAAGGACATACCCTCACAAAGACACACACATACACATAATTTTAAAAATAACAATAAAAACACATCTTTTTAAAAGTTTGTTTTTTCAAGTATACTCTGTCTGCTGTTAGAAACTGGTTGAAGTGTTCATCAAAATCTAATCACACCAATTTTAATTTCTTAAAACCTGATCATTTAAGTTATGGCACCCACTGCAGAATTATCCAAAGTCTCACCTATAACAATAACTTATGCAATCAGTCTTTCATGCATATCTGCCATGGGCATGTCTACTAGGAGCTGCAGGACGTGTAAGATCAAAACTTATACCTAGTAAATTATTAATTCACATAAATACAGGACAAGTGTACACCAAGGTAGGCTTACAAGTGTCACTCGAAGAGAAATGTCTTTCAAGTATCAGAAGTACACAAGTTTGCCAGGCACTGAGAGACAGAGGCAGGTAGATGTCTGTGAGTTTGAAGCCAGCCTGGTCAATTTAGTGAGTACTAGGACAGCTACGGCTATGTAGAGAGGCCCTCTCTCAAATAAATTAATTAATTTAAAAAAATTTAGGAGTACACAAGTTTTACGTGGTTGTTTAAAATGGACCCCCTAGCCACACCCGGTAATCGAATTCAAGCAGATGCCCAGTCATCAATTCATCAGTACTATCTGTCAGGGCTTTGAGGGGTTAAAAGTTAGCTAAAGTGCCCTGCCAAAATGCCTCAGTTCTAACTCAAAAAAATGAACTTCCTCCACTACTATATGTCAGCCTTCAGTTCAATTCTGGGCTCTTGGTACAGGGATGGCCAACTCGTAATTTCTTAAAGTAAAACCTGTTACTATAAAAGATGCACTGAACTAAGTTGGCAAAAAATGAAACTTGCCAAAAGACAGTCTCCCTCCACGCCTCTCCTCCAAGCTCCCTAAGCTAAGCAACTTGTTCTTAAGAGTCAAGCAAATGAATCAGCTTTTTCACTTGATGTTAACACAGTCTAATCTGCTTTAATTCTCATACTTGTAGCAGTTAAGAATTTAATCAATTATAAAAAATGGAAACATTGAAATTTAACCACTTCTACTACCCGAGTCTCTGAAAATGGTAAGGCAAGCTCTCATAAGAAAGCCATCATATGTCCTCACTAACTTTACTTTGTAAATGTCCTTAAAATTAATTTACTTTTGTTAATCCAGGATAATAGAAATATAAAGGAAACTCCTGACAGTCTATTGCTACAAGTTAAGGTTCCTCCCCAGCTAACCATTCATTTAATACAAAGGAACAACTGTATGTGTGCGTTTTATTTAAACAAGACAGGGCCAATCTCAAGAAACTATGTGAGAACACAGTCGAGAAGTCACCATGGAGAAACCCCACTACAGGTCCAAAAAGGGTTTTTTCCTCAGAAATGGACTAAAAAGAAAAAGTCCTGTCGGCTGCAAGCTGACATTTCTCCACTGTGTGACTTCACAAAGTTCATCTTCAGCAATTACGCTTAGATGATCAACTACACATCTTCTGCAACAGGTGCCGCGAAACTGCATCTCCCACGCAAAGCCAAGATCAAACTGGTTAGGACACACGGCCCTTTGGTGTTATACTTTTATTTGGAACTTAACCAAAGCGATTCTGAATCGGAAGGCTTGCCAAATTTGGTTTGGTCAGGTTTTCTGGTTTGCTCTTTAATCAGCCATTTACCAGCAACTGTTGCACGCGCCCATGAGCACTCGAAGAACACAAACAAACGCACAGGGCCAGATGAAGCTCCCTGCTAACCAAACAACAGCCCTTCCTCCAAAACAGCTTTCAAACTACATGACTAGGGGAAGGAAAGGAAGCATGTCTATGTGTGTTACCCCGATATCTAAATTCTCACTTTTAAGGAACAGGTAATTTCTCCAAATCTACAAGAAAACGCATTAGACATGCAATGGTTTGCAAAGCAGAAGGCTGCTTTCATTGCAAAATAAATAAATAGAATACTCCTACCAAAACCAGGGCAGTAAAAAGAACTCAATGGGTACGTGTGTGCCAAACTTTCAATCCTGCCTGGTGGAGACACCGCACTTGGCACAATTTTTGAAGAGGAAAAAGAGGGAGGGGGGGAGTAAGAGAGCGAACGAATGTGTGGCCTCCAAACTGCAACAATGCAATCTCCATTTTGAACAATGCGCCTCTTTCCTCTCGCAAATCTAGTTCTGTTTTGTCTTTTTTTTTTTTTTTTGTCACTAGACGCGCGGTGGCCTCCGCGTGGGGGACAGGCCGGAGTGGGGGGGAGCTGGCAGGCAGGATGCACCGCACTCGAGAGGGAGCAAGCCAGGGGGAGGGGAGGAGGTGGGGAAGGAGTCTCCAGGCGGGCCTGGGTGGGTACCTGGAGTGCTGCTGTATGTGCTATGGCTCCTGAAGCTGCTTTCCGTGCAGTAGCTGGCGTCGTCGTCGTCGTCTTCCATCTCCTCCGGATAATCGGAGTCATCGTCGTCCTCCTCCATGTCATCTTCCTCGTCGTCCTCAGAATCCTGGGTCTCCTCCGCGTCGCCGTCCTCTTCCTCCTCCTCGTCCTCCTCCGAGACCATGTCCTCCTCCTCGTCGTCGTCGTCGCTCTCGTGGTCATCGTAC